TCCACCGATTGATATATTCATACACACGCCGATATGAAGCATTTGCGTCGATTGACGCGAGCAGAAGAGTCTGCCTCCTTTAGCTGTGCCTTAAATGCTGTTGAGTCAAGGTACCTCAGAACAAAAAGGTTTGGTATACTAGAAAGCCTCACAATGCCCATGTTCAACTTTCATCATGAGGAGTAGGAGTGGAGCTGTTCCGTGGTTTGGGTCCTTTCTTCGCTCGGTTGTTGGTTCTGGTTTCAGCTAGTTCTCAGGAGAGCCTTTTAAGAAGGCCTTTTCTGACTCAGAGACGTTTCGAGATTCTTTGGAGAATGTCTTTGGTCATTGGACTTGCTTTGTGTGTTTTTGTTGCAACTTCTTGCCTGTCTAGTTCACTACAGTCAAGGGAATTGAGTCGAACTGAGTTTGCGCACAGCCTAGAGGACTATGCTGAAAAATCCAACAAAGACTTTGATCGTGGTCGCGCCAAAGTCTCGCCATCCATCCAACCAACATTGCAGATCCACTGTTCACCTCAAACTCGACTGGCCAAGATATCCCTAGGCAACTTCGATCTGCGTGCCCAGCGAAACCTTCCCACCACGCTTTGCCAGCAAGAAGCCAAGCTGCGTAGAGCTCCACGCTCCACACACACACACACATGTACAAATTATATAAGGTGTAATAAAGTCAGCGCGTGTAGAAACACTACCACAACCATGACCTGTGCCAAAGAAAGAACCTGGTTCATAGTGCCCTCTATTCCCCATGGCTCGTTGTGACAACATCAGTTGATCAACACCATCTTTGCAAGAGTCGTTTGCATATTCGTGCATACAGCAGAGGAAGAGTTTTATCCATAATTCTCCATCGCCGAGAAAGGTCGAAATGCTTTCCCTCTTGGAACTGGGGCTAAGAAGCTTAGCCGAGCTTACTTATAAGACCGCATTCTTGAACACTGAGTTTGCTTTTCTTTGCAACAACTTGTTTGAATGTATGAAATTCTGCAAACTGGCTGTGTTCTACTCTTCAAGCGCAGGCCCCTACCTTGCGCTCCGATCGAAGCAGCAGAGCCAACAGTCTTGCCAAGGAGCTGATGTTTCTTCGAGTCGCAGGTTGTGCAAAAAGACATTTGTATGTAGATGAACCCAAACAGGTCTTGACAATGAAAACGAAGCAGCAGAGCCAGTCCTTTCTCGAAGGAGCCGAAGTTTTTGTTTGGGTCATGAGTGTGAGCAATCAGGTTTGGATGCTTTATAGCATTTTCACGGTTGCGCATATTGACCGGTCAATCTTCCGAACAGTTCTGGTGAAATCTTTCATTCTTGAAATATGCGGAGTGAAGAGCCTGCTGGCTATTTCGTGGGAGATTTCCTTTCTTCAATGTCAGTGTGTTCGAAAGATGAAACAGGAGCAGAAGCACTGCCGGAACCATTGGACGACCATGACCTGTTCCAAAGAATGAACATGGTTCATAATGCCCTCTCTATTCCCCATGCCTGGTTGGGACAGCATAAGTTGAGCAGCACATTCTTTGCAAGAGCCGTTTGCAGAATCGTCCATACAGCAGAGGACAAGTTTCATCCATGTTCCATCGCCGAGACAATTTGAACAACATTCCCATTTAAGCACTGGGGCTAAGAAGCTCAGACAAGCTTAACTTGTAAGATATCGTGCTTGAACCCTGAGTTTGCTGCTCCAAAAGTCGATTGCATGTTCTGCTTGTTTCAGCGCAGGTTTTTACGACCTTGGCAAAATTGAGCACTCGAAGCAGCAGAGCCAGTCCTTTCTCGAAGGAGCTGATGTTTTTGTTGGGTCATGAGTGCGAGCAATCAGGTTTGGATGTTTGATAGAATTTTCAAGGTTGCGCACATTGACCGGTTCTTCGTTTGACTGCTGTCTTGCTGCGACGATTTCATGCTTGTAGTGGCTCCGGCTGAACATGTGAAGATTCTTTTGGTCTCAACGACAGCCCCAAACCAAATGCACTTGCCAGTTTACCCTGGAAAATTGTTTCCCAAAGGCCCCAATTTTCGCAGCAACACTCGTGGTTGCCCATGGCTCACTTCCTGGAGATGAGCGTAAAACAGGTGGCTTTCACTGGCTACCACGAAAGGAATTACCAGCAGGTCGTTCAAAGAACTTGGATCCAGGTGTCACATCCTAAAAGCTGGAAGTCTTTTAAAGCTGGAGCGGTCGTTGGTTGAATCAAGTTGTAGTTTCTTGAAACCCAATCTTTCAACGTTTTAACTACTGTGTCTGTAACATAGCTCTCATTGCTTCGAACGTGGAACTCTTTTAAAGAGCAAGACAAGGAGGAGCAGGAGGGTGAAACAGCGAGCGCAACGGGTTGGCTCCCTGATAAGAAAGCTTTTTGTCACCAAATACACAATTTTGTTTTGATCCTAAAATATGCTAGAATTGCAAATTAGACAGACAATAAACATGTGCTCAAGAAGTTCTAAGGTTTCACAACAGCTCTTGCCCATTTTGCAGGCTCGACAACCTGAAGAGAAGATGCTGGTGGTGCCCTTCCTGCGCCAATGCGGCGAGGAATGGCTGCGTCTGAAGAAGGACCAATGCACTGGCTGGGCAATCCTGGCACCAGGGCCAAAACCAACCCCCTGGTAGGTCAACGGAGACTGCACTGTTCATTGTTTGGACGTAGGGGCGTTTGTGAACACGTGGGCTTTTGCATGTGGGAGCTTTTGTGAACACGAGGTGCCAACCCTGGAACCAACCATCTACAGGTGCGCCGTTTTCATTTTTGGAACTCACTGAAAACCAAGCTTCGCGACGATGTGCGCATGCTGCTGTGGTGCGGCTTATACTGATCGAACATTCCACCGACAAGCGATGACTGATTTATAAGATAAGTGCTAAGTGATAAGGACCAACGGATCTTATGTTCGCAACAGGCACTGCATGAACTTTCAGGTTTCGGAAGACTCGAAAGCAAGACTCTGTAGAATTAACAATATTTAAAGGCTTATGATTATGCCGAACAGCGGACCAGCAGATGCCAGCAGGCAGTTCTGGGACACGCACTCTTCAGACCTTTGCTGTCACTTGCATGCATGCATGTATGCATGTATGTATGTATGTATGTTTGTTTGTTTGTTTGTATGTTTGTTTGCCTGTACGCTATAAATATGGACGTACGTACGTAATGCATTGCCATGCATTGTAGAGTATTTGTACTTGTAATGCATTGCCATGGGAATTGTTTGGCAAGTTCGCTGTGACAGCTGACCTTATCAGGAACACGTCGGGCGCCCGTTCCACGCGCTCACCGGTTCCGTTCATGGTCCAGACTCCTGGTTGGCGGTGCGTCAGATTTTCCAGCAGTCTCCGATAGGACGACGTGAAGCCGGACGATGTCTTCTTGAAGACAATGCAAGCCATTGAGGGCCAGGACAAGGGTGATTGCCGCGCCAGTCCATGGGCCAGGAATCTTGTCCATGCATGCGCAAATAAACCGGGCAGCCTCTGAGTCAATTTTTGTGGTTCCATATCTTGTGGCAAAAGTGATGGCCACGATTGAAGGACGAGCAAACGGCGTTAACCGAGATGCTAGTCAAGGTGGGCAAGGTCGTCGCGTGTCAGGACTTGCAAACACAATTGGGTCGCAGGAGGAACTGTTCCATTGTAAGAACAAGGTAGGTCACCCTGAAGATTGAATCCTCAAAGCCCAGCTCCGAGATTAAATGGGAAGGACAAAATAAGACAAATGTTTGTTTCATGCTGAAAAAAGTGGTGCCGCAAATGGTTCACGATGTCATGATAGTTGAAACACGTTCAAACACGCATTGCGGCCTAGATGCATTGCAACAAGCAACAAACAAAAAGGCCCATATCCCCATGCACCCTCGCTTGGGAACGAACAGGAACAGATCACCGCAGTCAAGAACAAATTACATTACTTCGAGTGATCCCCACCATTGACATTTCAATCATTTGGTTTCATGCCATGGTGAGGAGCATGTTGCCGTGATCGTGAGTTTTTCTTTTAGGTCCTCGGGTTTGGGATTGCTACTTTAGTGTTGGGGAGTTCGCGTCGAGGTGTCGCCAGCGACCCTGTGACCGTGACCACCTGCCACGCAGAATGCAACACACACACAAAGAGGTATATAACTATATTGTTGTGGTTGTGTGTTTGTGGTTGTGTTTTTGTGGTTGCGTTTGAGTGTTGTGGTTGTGTGCTGTGGTTGTGTGTCGTGGTTGTGTGCTGTGGTTGTGTGTGGTGTGTTGTGGCTGTGTGTTTATGGTGGTGCTTGTGGTTTCTGTCTTTGTGGCTGTGTGCTGGTGGCCGGCTGCGTGTTTGTGATTGTGCTTGTGTTTGTGGTTGTGTGTTTGTAACTGCGTGTTTGTCGTTTGTGTGTTTGTGATTGCGTGTTTGTGGTTTGTGTGTTTGTGGTTGTGGTGTTTGTGGGTGTGCGTTTGTGATGGTGTTTTTGGTTGTGTTTGTAGCTGTGTGTTTGAAAGTTGTGTGCTTGTGGTTGTGTGTTTGTGATTGCGTGCTTGTGATTGTGCTCGTGGTTTGTCTGTTTGTGGCCGTGCTTTGTGCTTTTGTTTGGCTGGTTGTGTATATACTGTGTATTGTGCTTTTGTAGCTATGTTGTGGGGTTGTGTGTTGAGGTGCAGTAGTCTCAGTAGTGCCCACTGCGATCTGGCACTTGCGGCTGAGGTCCGGTAGTGCCCGCTGCGATCTGGCACTTGCGGTTGAGGTCCGGTAGTGCCCACTGCGATCTGGCACTTGCTGTTGAGGTATAGTGTCCACTGCGATCTGGCCCTTGCGGTGGAGGTCCGGTTCTGGTCCTTGCGGTTGAGGTCCGGTGTAGTGCCCACTGCGATCTGGCGCTTGCTGTCGAGGTCCGGCAGTGCCCACTGCGATCTGGCGCTTGTGCTTGAGGTCCGTAAGTGCCAACTGCGATCTGGAGCTTGCGGTTGAGGTCGGGTGGCCCACTGTGATGCTGTTGAGGCGGCGAGGAGCAGGAGGAGAGGAGCAGGCGGAAGAGGAGAAGAGCTCTGATAAACTCTCTCAACATCTCTCAACCCTCACCTGGCAGGTGGGGAGCCAACCATTTTGTGCCCAACCTTGTGCAACTGTCGACCTGTCGTAACTAGGTGGCTGTTCTTACTCAATAAGACTTCTGTCAGACATTCTTTGTGCCCCCGTGCAGCAGCAAAAGCAACGCCTTATAACTTAGGACTCACGACCTTAATCCGTGAAAATTTGTTTGTCGTTGCTTCCAGTACAGCTTGAGCCATGAAGCAGTATGTATCAGTATGTCAACAACAACGGTCGAGTTCAGAAACTGGGCGGTGTTCACGTTTGACTTCACGTTTTGGCAAAAGAAGTCGTCGTCGGGAAGTCAGGAGACGACGTTGGTCTTGGCAAAAATTGACCTCAGGGATGTACAAGCCAAGGACCAGGGCCTTGTGCGGCGGGACTTTCTCGTTCAAGAGGCAGGTATGAAATGTCCAGTTGAGTCAATGACCCGAACAACCTTGTTTTGAATCTTGTGCTGTGGTCCTTCGTCTCCTTGGGATGATTTCGGCCGGTGATTTTTCCAAGGATAGATCCAAGGTAGATCCAAGGCCAAGTGCCTTAGAGTCATGATCTATTGCCCAAAACTGTTGAACAATAGATCCGCCACCGCTAGGGAACAACCCCTTTGGTGCCTAATGCTCTATCCTCGTGCGGAAAAAATGGCAGGAGCTGGCTAAGGCCGTGTGTGGACGCTCAAGCTCAGCAAAGTGCAAATCATCGACCTGCATGGAAACAACATTGGCCCTCCTGGCCTGAAGGCCTTTGTTCCGTTTTGGGCTCGCCACACGGCTCACTCCAAAAGGCTCCAGAAACGCGAGCGATCTGATTGAACTGTCTAAAACAAGAGGCCTTAAGCCTTACGCTCCTCATTTCTCCGGACAGAAACATTTTTTGGAGTCAGATGCCTCTCCTTCGGAAATTGTGGAGCAGTCGCAGAGTGTGTGCAATTTGCATGTGATGGAAATTGAATGAAGAAGGGACGGACAAACATTGCATATGAAATTATA